GCCATCACCACCTGGGCTCCCCCGGCAGGGCCTGTGCAGAGCCTGGGTCCCTGACTGAACCCGCTGGGCTCCTCACCTGCGATCAGGATGTCCAGGGGGTCGCTGGGGGCCGACCACTCGGGGGAGAGGTTGTGTGCACCGTAGCATCTGTACTGGCCCCCGTGGGAGCGGCTCACAGGGCCCAGGAGGAAGTTGGCCTGGGAGAGCCCAGCATGGCGCTGCCAACCAGGGCGCTGGAGGAAGTCACCTTCTCCCTCCTTATACAGAGCAAATCTGTCGTAGCCGGCATCAGAGCCACACTGGAGGGTCAGCTTATCCCCACGGGTGACAACAGGACCCGGCTGCACTGACAGTGATGGCTTCTTAGAAACGCCTGGGAAAAGGTGGTCACGGTTTCCAGGATCCGATCCTCAGGCTTCCCCACAAACCTTCCCTCTCCCCCTGGGCCTCACCACTGCTGATCTTCCTGTGTCTCTGGCCCCAGGAGCCCTGAGCCCTCTCTTCCCAACATCATCCCACCTGGCGCTGCCCTGAGACGCGGCTCCTCCCCATCTGCCTGGAGACTCAGGGAACTCCAGGCAATGCTGTGAATTTCTCACCTGGGACCAGGAGCTCCAGGAGATCACTGGGTAAAGACCACACATAGGGAGCGCTCAAGATATAACCATAGCACCGGTACGACCACCTGCGACTCGGGCTCACGGGGCCCACGGAGAAGACGGCCCAGGACCAGCCATGGGCATGGGACTGGGAGTTGAGACGTTGTGGGTGTTCATCTTCTCCTTCCTTACACAGAATGAAGCCATCAAATACCACCTGTGAGTCACACTGGAGGGTCACGTTCCCTCCTGAGGCCACCACAGGGCTGGGCAGGGCTGAGAGGGTGGGTTTGCTGTAGGCTCCTGGGAGAGAAGGCGGCACCGTGTTAAATGGGTTCCCACCTCCCACATCATCCCCAGGGCTGGGCTGTGAGAGGGAGACGCCCCTGAGAGCCGACCCCCTTCCTGAAGACAGAGCCTGGGGCTGGGACAGAGAGATAGGTCCTCTCACCTATCACCACCAGCTCCAGGGGGTCGCTGGGCTCTGACCACCACCTGTGGCTGTAATACTGACAGCGATACTGCCCTGTGTCTTCCCAGGTGATGGATGCAATGGCGAAATAGCCCTTCTTGACAAGCTCTTGTGGTATCCGTCTAACCCAGGATGCTGGTTTTTTTTCCCTTTGTAGACGGTAGTCCTGAACCTGAAGGCTCCCCTGACACCTGAGGGTCACAGGACTCCCCTCGCTGATCATAGACCCTGGCTCAGCCCGGAGAGTGGGCTTGGGAAGGGTCCCTGGAAGGAAATCACAGATTGGATTCTAAGTCATTTCCCACCCAACAGATCTCAGCTCTTGGCTGCAGGACCCTCCGGATGCCCCCATCAGCCCAGATCTGCTAATCCCCATCCCCAGCTGCACGGGGATGGCCCCTTGTCCCCAGTGAGGAGGAGGGACCTGGAACAGCTGGGGACAGACTCACCTGCCTGCACGCGGGTCCTGGGGCCCAGACTCAGCCCTGGAAGAGAGTTCCCTGTGAGAGATTTGCCCCTGAAGCCTGAGCAGGTCCTCCCCTGCCTGGGATCTTTGTGAGCCCCTGGGGTCTCCTTATGGACGAGAGTTTGTCTGTGGGGTGAGGCCCCTCCTAGGTTAGAATCTCCCCTCCCTCTTCAAATCTCACCGAGACAGATCAGGAGCGTGAGGATGGGGGTCATGGCGTCTCCTCCCACTGCTCTGCTCTGTGGATGGATGAGCCCTCGGTACTGGCAGGACAGAGACACACAGGGTCTCTTGGTGCTGGCAGGACAGAGACACACAGGTGTGGCCACTCAGAGGCTGGGTCCTTCTTGTCACGGGGTGTTGTCATCTGCAGCCACACAGGAAGTGGAACTGCCCTCCCCAGGAGCCTGGCTCTCATTCCTTTAGGGCTGAGGTTGGGGCAGGCACCGGGCCCTCTGCAGACATTTCAGACAGAAATGGGGTCTTTCCTGACCCCCAGCCACTGTCTGTCTGGTTTATCCTCGTCTCACTGAGAGCCGGGATGTAGCGGCAAATAGAACTGGTGCTTCCTGTGTCTGTCCTTCCAGATGAGGGTAGTGGAGGCTTCCCCTTCACAGTCTCCCACAAGGTCTCCCTCCCTCCTTCAGCCATCCATCAGCACAAGGTTGTGGGGTCCTTACCTTGCCAGTTATCTCTCCAGCCCTGGAGATACTTCAGGGAAGACGCAGGTCCATGCTGCAGGCAGACCCAGATCAGCAGAGACACATCTCACATCTGGCTGTGCCGTCCAGGCTGAGCTGCGTGTGGCAGTGAGGACAGAAGAGAAATGCAGGGAAATAGGGGAAGAAAAGTTGACTTCTTTCTTGGCACTGGATTGTGAATTTTCTTTCAACCAAATAGTCCCCTTCTCAACTTCCCCTTTTTAAAACTTTTTTGCTACAGCGTCCAGCCCCACCCAGCTGGGAACAAACCTCTGAGTCTTTCCTTCCTCTTTAGTGCCCCTGTGCCCTTGGCCGCCCCTCTGCACCTCAATTCCTGCTCAGCATTTCTGGAACAATGACTTATGTTTGAGCTTTGATTTGGGGGAGTGGGGGAGGGAGCTGATATTTATTCAATGACCGGTTATCATCCACTGCCTGTGTGACCTTGGGCGGTAGTGAACCATCTCTGAGCCTCAGTCTTTTCCTTTGCAGACTGTTGTCACAAATCCCACTCGTCACCGTGGTTGTGGGGTCAGTGGTGCCTGGGACATTGGGAGGGGCTCATTTGTGCTTCATTTCCAGACCAAGGTAAGATCTGAGGTGTCTGGGACATGAGAGGATCTTGGTGTTGGATGGTTGATGCGTCCACTCATGATGTCGCCCCTGACCCTAATGGAGAAGTGTGCATCAGGCATTTCTGAAATACCCAGAGAATCAAGGTCATGAGCAGAAAAAGAGGTATAGAAGTTCCCAAGGGTAGACGGATCCACAAGAAAGAACAGAGGCCAGAGATGTGATGCCACAGGGTGGCGGGACCATCGAGGGGTCATTGGAGTGGAGGTTTCCGCCACTGAGTGGAGCCGGGAGAGGAACCTCACGATCTGCAATGACAGAGCGGGGCTCAGGGCTCCAGATGAAGGTGGGAGGCTGCGTCCTCCAGCCACACCTGAGGCTGGAGTGGACCCCAAGCAACCCAGGGGAGTCACCTCAAGGGAGTGCACCAAACCGTCCAGTGATAGAGCTGCTGGGATTCCAAAGAAAGAAGCACTAAACACCAGGGTGTCCATAGAGCATTTATTAGGGGGACTTCCATAGAGTGGGACATCCTTGTCTCCTTGCCCAGTGTCTGCTTGTGCATCTCAAGGATGTGCTTCCACATAGAAGTATGTTCCTGAGATGGACAAGGAGGCACTGGGTGTTCTACACAAAGCTTTAACCAACCAACCAAACAAACAAAAAACCCTGGAGAATATTATCTCTCAGTACAGTTGTTTTTTGGGATACACAGGCAATTCGTTTCAGTACCCTCTACATGTACCCAAATCTGCCCGTACTCCAGCCTCGATGATGTTGTCTCTGCTTGACCTGCATATAGGAAAAGTTTGCTGTTCATACACGCAGGTCTTGCTTCTCACAAATGCCATACTTCTGATCCCTGTTTGGTTGAAAAAGTGTGTATATAAGAGACCCCAGGAACTCAAGGTTGCCTTGCTCCAGGGTCACCAGGATTTTGAGTGTATTTGGGAATGAGAAGCAAGGATTACAATCTGGAGTGCATGGCATGGCAAGACACGGTGCGTCCAGAGAGGGAAGTGTGATATTGGGATATATACTGGTTTTCACCCGCGGTTCCTTGCTTGTAACTCCCATAGCCCTTGTTACAGTCTTTTGTTATAACATTGGCTGTGTTGGGCCTCAGGGGAGGCCTCTGACCTCCTCCTGCCCTTCCTTCACCTGCTCAAGGCAAGAATCTAATGTTCCCTGCCTTTCTGATGGTGGATCTTAAGACCCTCCCAGAAGATGGTCTCACCCTGTTCCTTGTGGGAGGAAATGCTGACATCATGAAGCTTCCATAAAAGCCCAAGAGGACTGGGTTTCGTGAGTTTCTGGATGGTTGAGCATGCAGTGGTTCCTGGAGGGTGGCGCCCAGGGAGGGCATGGAAGTCACGTGCCCCTTCCCCCATGCCTCCTCCTATGCGTCTCTTTATCTGTGTCCTCTGCAGTGTGCTTTGTATTCAACCAGGAAATGTCCATGTCTCCCTGAGTTCTGTGAGCTGCTACAGCAAATTAAACCCAAAGAGGGGGTCATGGGATCCCCAACTTGAAGTCGGTTGGAGGTCTGGACTTGGCAATGGTATGGAGGGCAGTCTTGGGACTGAGCCTTCAATCTGTGGGATCTAGGACTGTCTCTGGGTAGACAGCGTCAGAACTGACTTAGACATCCCAGCTGATGTCTAAGTTACTGGGTTTGGGGAAAAAAACCCGACACATCTGATCCTACAAGTCTTCTGTGTTGATGATTGGTGTAAGAGTAGAGGAAAAACACCTTAGAGAGAGCTCTCTGTACATAGAGAGGTAAAGGAGGTTCTTATCAGCAACAAAGGAGAGGCTGACAGAGCTGCTTAGAAACAGAGTTCCCTGATTCCAGAGGTTCAGAGCCAGAGCTGCTGTTGGTCCGCTGGAGGAGATGTTGTTGCTGAGAAAATGTTCTCTCGAGAGCATCTTACCTGAATTCCTGACATCCTAAAGAATAGCTAGTGATACACCTTGTCAAAGCAGGAGATGGGTGAAGGACATGAAAGAGTTTCTTGTGGGGTTTTTTAAAAGTCCTTAGAAACAGTTCTCATCTGAGACCTGGAAGCATGAGCCTCCTCTCCTTCAGGTCTTCCTGGCCCTGTGGGGTCTGAGTTTGACCAAAGTCATCTCATCCTTGCATCTGTGACTTTCCTACTGGGTGTCTGCAGTGAAGGGATTGGGTTACGAAGTTTAACTTGAGAGTTTCAGGAATTTGGTTGAGGAGAGGCCTTGTTTCTATATCATTAGCAAAAGGGTTAATTTTTCAGTGTTTTCTAGAAACAACCTAAAGTGCTTTATCAGTACCTGGGAATATTTAAGACCTCAGCTTGGGTTCCAGCCTGCAGGTGGAAACAGGCATCTGTCCAACCCACAGAGCAGTCATGGCGCTTTGTCTCTCTCTCAGAACAAAGCAAAAAGTGTAGGAAACCGTGGGACCCTAGAGAGACTGTGGTTCCCCCTCTTCTGTATTTGTGGACAGACTCTGGGATAGCTCTGCTCAGTGACCCCAGCCACACTCAGCACTAAGCCACCTTCCCGGGTGGACAGGACACAGACTCGCTTTATCATTGCTGGACCGGGCATCTCTCGCACATGAGTGTGAGACTCACATGGGCCCCACCATGTGGGGCACAACACAGAGCTGATACTAAGCTTGGAATCATGGACACTGCAGGGTAGAAGCGGCTACAGCAATGCTCCTCATCAGCTTTCATTCCTGAGTGAGCCCTGGGAGAAACCGTATAGAAGATCACGTGTATAGGAGAAAACCCCACCCAAGAGAAATAAAAATCAAAGCACCCAGTACAGAAAAAACAGGCAATTATAGAAACGAATTAGGAAGCTATTGTGACATGAAAAATAGTAAACCATATTAACACATTTGGAAATAATTGCATCAAGGACAAGACACAGCTGAAATGATGAACATTGTATTGGTGTGGAATATCAATTAAAATTTTCATTAGTCATCAGAGAAAAACTAGAAATGAATAAAATAGAAAACATAATGCGCACAAGAAACAGAATGGAGAGGAAACAGATATCTCTCTATGTGTCACACTTTCAGAATGAAGGAAATGAGTATGTTAGTCAGTAAATACTTGCAAAGAAAATGGTTGACATTTTTACAGAAATGAAGAAAGAACATGAGTTTAACACAAACAAATTAATAAATAAAATTAATGTCTTAACTATGATAGAGTAAAAGCTACCTAGAATAGATTAAAAGTAATTTTAAAATTACTGGAGAAAATAAAAACTATTCTCAAAGGAAAGACGAGCACATTGGGACTGGATTTCCCAAGAGTAAAAAGTGACAAGAAAATGACTGGGGGTTGAGGTTCCAGTTGGCTGAATGGAAAGGGCTGGAGTCTGCCTACTCACCAAGAGGACCCAAAATGGTGAGTAAATACCAACAGGTCAAGTGGATCTTCCAAGAGGACGCTGGGGTTCACCTGAGCACCATGAGGACATGGAGAGAAGAGAAGAGAAAAGGTGGGAGCCAGGAAAGGCTCTTAACACGGGTAAGGGGTGAGTGATGAGAGGCCCCCTAACACAGAGAAGGGGTGAGTGAGTGAGAGGCCCCCTAACACGGGGAAGGGGTGAGTGAGTGAGAGGCTCCTTAACAGAGGGAAAGGGTGAGTGGTGAGAGGCCCCTGGGATCCACATCCCTGCCTTGGCCCTTTACAATTCTGGTCACAGGAGAGCCCCTGACCCCCCTTGGCCTGCAGAGGCACACAGGGAGTTCCTGGAGATGGTGCAGAGGTGCCTCTGGAGCCCACGTGGAGTCCCACAGGCTTCTGATCCCTGAGCAGCCTGGGTCCAGCTGCCACTGCCTTAGCAGGGAGGGAGGAGGCCAGGCACCTCTGTGGGCCCCAGAATCAATATGACAGCTGGGGCACAGGAACAGCCAAGCTGAGCACCACACAGCTCCCCACCTCTGTTGTGTCCTGCTAAATGGGGCTTCCTTCCTGCTAATGGGGCTTGCCAGCTGCAGGGCCCCAGTGCACCCGTCCTGCCCCCACCTGAACACTGTGGCCCTGGCTTGGTGCCCTCTGAAAGCCCAATGCTCAGAGGCCCCTGACAAGCCCTTTGCAGTCACTGCCACCTCTGCCTCTGCCCCTAGGCTGCCCCAGGCCTAGGGAGGGTGTGGGGAGGCCTGACACTTTCGCGTGTCCCCAACAGCAAAACCGAGTGCTACTTCTTCAGGTGGGCAGTGTGAGCAGACCCTGTGCCCCACAGCTGCCAGTCTCCAGTGCCCCAGCGGACGGGCCCTGCCCTCCCTAGTGACAGGCCCACAGCACAGCCACCCTGCCCCCACCTGGCCATTTTGGCTGCAGCCCCCAGCCCTTCTGAGAGGCCAGTCCCCACAGGCCTGTGATCTGCCCACGGGCTCTACCACCTGAGCCTTCTGCCTGCCCTGCCTGAGAATTCTGCCTGTGACCTGGGAACCAGCCCAGCCCTCCCCATCACAGCCAGCATCTGAAGCCTGGAACAGCCGAAACCCAGTCAAGCCCCTACAGGACTCGCACACACTGCCCAGCCGGCCACCTAGGGGCCTGCGATCTGGGAACTGCCTGCCCTTTCCTACCCTGCTGGCACCTGACCAGTCACCCCAGGGCCTGAGGTCGGGCCCACCCAGCCAGCAACACCACTACAACTGACGTCCACTCTCCCATCCAGAGACGCAGAACCCCCCACATCCCACCTACATGAAGCAGCTGCCACGTCGGACAACAGACAGCCGCTCAGGGTCTGCACTGGGCTGAGGGAGGAGGCTCTGCCTTGGAACCATGTCTGCAGAGAATGGCAAGGCAGGTGTTTCCCATGGCTCCCAGCCACACCGTGGCCTGGGGAGAGACAACAGTGTGTGTCTGAACTGAGACTCATGAGCGCTGGAGCAGGAGTGTGATAGGGAAACAGACAATGTTCCTCCCTATGGAACTGGAAGCGGATGTAGCTTTTTCATCCCCCGCAGAGACCTCAGGGCATTTCACCAGGTGCTGCCCCAGCCACGTCCATCAGGACTGGTGCCTGCACTCATCATTAGGATATTCGTGGGCAAGCCAGGGGTTCCAGCTCTGCCCCGCTGTGTTCCTTCACCCCATTAGAACAGGAAGCTCAGGGCTCCAGACACTCCACGGTCCAGCCCTTCCGCTGAAATGACAGACAGCACCTCACAGGAAACACGCCAGGTCCATATGCACCTGCTTGTGCTGAGGGTGGCTCTTATCCTTAAGCACCAGCTCCCGGTCTGCCGTTTGAATTGAACAGCCCAACACAAACCGTGCTGCAGAAGCGCCCAAGGGTATGGGAAAAAGCCAAAAGACCCTTCCCAACATGCTCTGCAGTCACGCTCCCCGCGGAGCCGGAGGGAAAATGCGCAAAAGAAATCCCATCCAAATGAAAATAAATTCAAAGAGAGTAAGTGGCAGCCTCTCCAGATGAGAAGGAATCCATGCAAGGATTCTGACGCCGTGAAAAATCTGGATATTGTGGCACCACCAAAGGATCACACTAGCTCTCTAGCAATGGACGCTGAAAACAATGGAAACTCAGAAAGGACAGATAAAGAATGAGACGGAGACAAAAACATTACAAAGAATCAATGAAATAAAAAGTTGGTTTTTTGAAAGTATAAATAAAATTGACAGAGGCTAACTACACTAACCAAAAAAAGGAGAAGATTTAAATAAGCACAATCAGAAATGATCAAGTTGACAGTACAACCAACACCATAGAAATACAAACGATCATCAGAGACTACTTCGAACAGCTTTATGCACATAAACTAGAAAACCTAGAGAAGTGGATTCCTAGACACATACGACTTCCCAAGATCGCACAGGTAAAAAATAGAAACCCTAAACAGACCAGTAACAAGTAACAGAAAAGAATCAGTACTAAACATCTTCCAGCAAGAAAGCGCAGGAACAGATGGATTCACAGTTGAAATTTGCCATATATACAAAGAAGAGCTTGTGCCACTCATACTGAAAGTTTCCAAAAAAATCAAGGTGGTGGGATTCTTTCCTAGCTCATTCTATGAAACCAATATCACCCTGACAGCAAAATCAGACAAGGACCCAGCAGAAAAATAAAACTGCAGGCCGAGAAACCTGAGGCACATAGGTACAAAAATCCTCAAGAAAATACTAGCAAATGGAATCTAACAGTGTATAAAAAACATAATACATCATGATCAAGTTGACTTGATTCCAGAGATGAAAAGATAGTTCAATATATGCAAAGTTAATAAAGGTGACTCATGACATAAACGTGAACTAAGAACAAAAAGCATACGATCATCTCAATAGATGCAGATAAAGCATTCAGTAAAGTCCAATATCCCTTCCTGATAAAATCCCTCAACAGACTAGGCATGAAAGAAACATACCCCAAAATAATAAAAGCCTTATATGACAAACCCACAGCCGACATCAAATTGAATGGGGAGAAATGAAAGCATTTTCCCAAGAAATGGAACAAGACAAGGATGTCCACTCTCACCACTCCTATTCAACAGAGTACTGGAAGTCCTAGCCAGAGCAATCAGGCAACAGAAAGAGAGAAAGTGCATCCACATTGGAAAAGAGAAAGTGAAATTATCTGTGTGTGCTGATGACACGATCATATACCAAGAAAACCCTGAAGATTCTTCCAGAAGACTCGTAGACTTGATAAGTCACTTCAGTAAAGTCTCTGGATACAAAATCAAGCTACAAAAATCAGTAGCCTTTCTATACATCAATACCATTCAAGCTGAGAACCAAGTTAAGAACACACAAACACAAACACACACTGAGGAGTATATTTAACCAAGGAGGTGAAACACCTCTACACAGAGAATGACAAAGTGCTGATGAAAGGAACTGTAGGCAACACAACCAAACAGAAAAATATTCCTTGCTCACAAATGGGAAGAATCAATATTGTTAAAATGACAATATTGCCCAAAGCATGTTACAGATTCAACACAATTCCTATCAGATTACAAATCTCATTTCTTTAACAGAATTAGAGGGAAAGTAATTTTTAAATTTGTTTGGAACCAAAAACCAGCCTGAATAGCTAAAACAATTCTCTGCAAAAAGAACAAACCAGGAGGCATCACATTACCTGATTTCAATTATACTGTAAGGCCATAGTAACTAAAACAGCATTTACTAGTACGAAAATATACACAAATGCCACATGGCTCACATACAAAGCACATTCACTGCTTCATCTGGGTGCTGCACTTGGTGTTTTATAGGGAGAGTTGGCTAGTCCCCTTCTCAGGGCCAACAGACCTTTTAGTGGCATTGTCTGGTCCACTAAGCTGGTTGTTCTCTCCAGAATAACCTCCTGTGCATTTGGATCACATATACTCATTAGTGATTGCTTAATAGAGATCTACAGGTCCTGCATCAACCCAAACAAGCTCTTAAATTCTGAAACACTTAAAATTAAGAATTTGGCCCTTAAAGTGGTTATTTTTTACAATCTACTACATAGATTTTTTTTAAAGAAACTGATAACAAT